CTGGTCTGGGCACTGGAGCCAAGATGCCCAAGATGACTTTGGACTGTGTGTGGGAACTTTGGCCCCACAACAGCAGCTCAGGGCAGGCACCCCGACATCACACCTACAAACCGGGGATTGAGGTGTCCGGCCAAACTTCCCCCTTTGCAGTGCAGGTGAATGCCCTGCCCTGGGGGGCACTAAGCAGGAGGACGTATCCAGAAGGTAAGAAGAGATGGGGTCTCTTTGATCTTCGACCCCTTTACCTCTGCACAAGGGAATGCAAATCACTGCCAGCTCTATGGGGTCCACATCCCCCAAAGATGTGTGCCCTGTGCCCACCAAAAAGCCCAGGGCCAGCCTGTCCTGGGTGAGCTTCCTACGATCTCTGGAGAAGGAGCCCCACCAGAGACCAGGCTGAGCAGGGTTCGCTTCACAGAGGCTTTATTCACTCCGGATATTCGTATCATCTTCCGATCTCCCACAGCAGAGACCCCAGCATCCTCACCCCGTCCTCCCGGGGCAGTGGGTCCTTGATACAGCCCCTAGGTCTTCACGAGGGGACAAGGCCACCATCTTGCGGCCGCCCATCACCACTGCACATACCCGTGTGCAAGGCTTGGGGGTCCCCAGAAAGTGGCAGCTATGGGGGTACAGGGTTTAGATCATGGGGACCTGCGACTGGTGCCCGCATCCCCTGGGATCACACCTTGCGGGGCACACACTCTCCCTCCCCTCGCTCCAGGACACCCAGGGGTGCCAAGGATGGGCAGAATGTGCCAGCAGTGCTGCTCCCACCCCAGCTCTGGCCCTTCCACCCCTGTCCTGCTGCCCCGTGCGGTGTCAGCCAGCAGCGACCGGGACATCCCGGTTTGCACAGCAGGCTTCATGAAGCACGGAAAGGCAGGCAGGGGTGGAGGAGGGCTCAGAACTGAGCCCTGGGGCTGAGCATGTGGCACCCTGCAAGGTCGGAGGGGGATTTTCATCCCTGGTCACAGGATGGGAGCAATGACCCACATGGGGGATGCTGGAGGGGGTTATACCAATACTGCTAGTGATGAGCAGCCCAAAGCAAGTCCTTTCGTGCCTCTGGGAAGCGAGCTGGCATGGTCTGCACACTACTGGGTTCTGCAAGGCTGCCCACCCTGGTTTAGTGCTTATTTGCCTCCTTCTGCTTCTTCCCCTCATGATGGGGCTGGCCATGGTCTCCATGGGGCTGGCCATGGTCCCCATCGTGGTGGTGAGCATGGGTGGCACGTTCGTGGTCCCCACTTGGGTCTGTGGCTCTCTCGCTGCTGACCCCGTGGTGATGGTGAGGATGGACGGGGTTGTGCTGGTGGATGGGGGTCTCCGTCTCCTTCCCCTTTGGTTTGGGAAGCGGGCTCAGGGTTGCAGGGGCCTCCGTGGTGCTGTTAGCCTGAGGAGAGCAACACAAGGGCTAGTGCAGGGTGTGAGCGCACGCAGAGCCCTGCAGTGACCCTGCAAGCACAAATCTGAGCTGGGGTGGAGGTGGAGGAGCACCCATCATACGGAAGGCTGCACGGGTCAGAGCAAAGGCTTTGCAGGCCTGACCCAGAGAGGACAGGAGAGGCTGGAGCACATAGAGTAGAAGCCTCTGTACCTACATCCCTTGGCTCAAGTTGTCTGTGGTCGAAGGAATTCCTGAGCCAGGAAAGGGACTTTGCATTTAATATTTCCAGATGGATTTTTTCCTAGGAAGTGAGCAATTACCTGCCGAGCCCAGAGCTATGTCCCTTCTATCGCTCTGAGTGTGCCACCTCTGGTCCACAGCCTGCCCCTTTCTTACATCAGAACAGCCACAACCCTAGTTAGCTCTTCCAGACCTGAGCTATGACCCCATTAGTCCACTCCTTCTCCACTTGAAAGCTCTGACCTATTTAAGTGCCCTTACTCCAGACCTCTCATCACCTTCCCTCTCAACCACAGCTGAGTGTGGCTGCCAACCCGGAGCTGTCCCTGACATGAAGATAAGGTTGATGTGCAACGCCAGAGGAGAGAAGGGAGCCGGCTCCAGCGAGCATCCCTGCTCCTTACCTGCTGGGTGGTGTTGGCGTAGAGGGAGCAGTTGCCACAGAAGTCCTTGCTGTGGGTGAAGCGGATGGCCGACTCCACATAAGGGAAGTGGAGGAAGCTGTAGGGCAGCTGGATGTGGAAAGCCAGGCGGCCACACCTGCAGGGAGACACCACGGTCCAGCTCAAGCCATGGGCGGAGCTTTTGGAAGCCCATCAAACACCCCATAACCAGGAAAGCCCCAGCCGAGATGGGGCACACTCACCGGTCATAGACAAGGAAGTCATCCTTGTCACCCCCAAGGACCTGCCAGACATCGGGGTCCTCCGGCTCCGGCTGGAAGACAGGGATGCCCAGGGGGGCCTGGCGCTCCAGCTCCCAGAACATGGCGCGGGAGAGCGGTGCCTTCTCATTGACGATCATGTAGCGGACATCGACTGCGCCCCGCCGGGCCAGCTTGTCCCGCAGGCCCCCGAGGCTGTGGGGATGGAGGCAATGGGATGGGGGTGCCAGGGTGGGGGGCTGTGATGCTGTCCCCCAGTACAGCAGGGCTGGGTTTGGGGTAGGGGAGCAGGGCTCACCTGCGGGCCTGCTGCAGGCAGAAGTGTCAGCTGGCCTTCAGCAGAGCCACCACTGTCACCTGCCCCATAGCCCCCTCCATGGGGCTCAAGCCATTGATGCTCCACACCGGTGCCTCCTGGCAGAGCCGACTGCTGTTGTCTGCCCCTTCGGAGGCTGAGGCCAGCCCCAGCCCTAGCCAGGCAGCCAGAGCCAGCACCAGCAGCCCCATCCTGGACCCTGGACCCCCTGGCAGGGGGGAACAGGGCATTAGTGTCCCCTCTGCCCCAGGGCTCAACAGGATGGGTCCTCCCAGCCTCACTACAATCCCAACTCTCTCCATGCACCCCCCTCCAGGACAAACAGAGACTGGCGGGCAGTGTTGGACTGGTCCCAGCACAGCACTGGGAGCTGGAAACCACGCGTTGTGGGAGAAAACAAAAAGGGGATGGGGTGAGGGAATCGTGGTGCCCAGCTCCTGACAAACACAGCACCCTCACTGCAGTCTTCAGTGGGCACCCACTGCCACAGCTGAGTGTCCCCATCTGCCCTCAGCACCAAGCAATCGCTCCATCTATTAGGGGATGAAGGTCCTGCTCCCTCCCCCGTGGGTCTTCTCCACCCCGCTGACCCCAAAGCCCAAGCCCAACCTCAGCTAGGGGTCTGTCTTTGTCCCAGAGGCAGGCAGGGATGCAGCCCCTGACACCTCGGCTACCAGTGGGGAGTTACTGGGACTAGGATGGTTTCACCTTCAGGTCACCTTGAGAGTCTTTGGCTCCCCACGAAGCACTTTAGGGATGCACAGAGCCTTCAAACCCCTGCTCCCTAATATCTGCCTGAAGCCCCTTCCTCTCACAGCCCACCTAACCCAGCCCACCCAAAGAAATACGGGCATCCCTCCAGCATCCACATTTAATGGGCAGGGGGAGGACACGGGGCCGAAGCGGGAGCAGGGGGCTGCAGGGTTTGTTCAAGATGGATAGATGCATCTACCCCCAACTCCCAGCCCTCTCCCCCATGAGAACGGGCCCCAGTACCGCACTTCTCACTGCTGTCCTCCGGCCGGACCTCCCTCCTGGTGGCTCCAGCGGCTCCTGGCAATGCCCACCCGGCCCCGGTCTCCCTTTTATCTCTTGTCCACTCTCCCCGCCCAGGAGGGAGGAGAGGAGTTTGGCTGGAGAGGGGACGGCGCCCCGGCCACCGCCGCCTGCCTCGGGGGACGGCAACAAGGCAGGCACTGTCCCGCTCGGTGCCACGCAGCCTCGGGGTCCTGCTGCTGCAGCCAGTCCCAGCCTCGCTGGGGCAAAGCGGTGCCTGGTGCTGGGCTGGAGCAGAGGGTGCCAGGCAGTGCCGCAGGGAAAAGATGGTCACGGCCGCTCGAACCCCCCCCCCCCCCCCCCACGGGCACAGGAGCACTGGGGGCATTGCCAAGGGCACTGCTTGCAGCGAAGGGCTGCAGGACCCGCACCCCTGGGGTGCCACAGCTCCCTGCCCTGCAGGATGCCACCCCAAAGGCCATGCTGTCCTGCTGCACTGTGCCACGACTGCTCTTAGACCCCACTGTGCCTGGCCCCACAGCAAGCCCCCAGTGTCCAGTCTCATGCCTCCTGCCCAGCCCCACGCTGAGGGGGCTGCGGTGGTGTGAAAAGCCTGCATTCCCTTGGGAAATCAGCACCAGTGGATTCTGCCCCTCAGGCGAGCAGGAGGAGCTCTCCTCTCTGGTCACACATAGATGTCTCCACAAATATTTGAGCAGTTTTATCGTACCTGTGCTCTCCACAAAAACATGATAAGGCCGGAGCAGACACAGTGGGGGCAGCAGCACGGCCCAGACACATAAAGGGGGGACACAGTCTTCTGAAAACAGCCATAAGCAGCAGGGAATTGCTGCCGGGGCTGGAGGGGCTCAGGCACGTCAGCAAGGACGTGAGGCCATGGGCTGTGGTCCGGGGTCAACCTGGTGCAGCCCCGTCCCATGACCGATGTCAGACCCTGTCACCCTTCACATGCACACTGTTCCCCCCAGGCCAGTCCGGGTTCCCTGCGCACTGCGAAGCACCCAGCACTGAGCAGGGACGCACATCCCACACTGCGAGTCCTGACCCAGCAGGATTCCCGCTGTCAGGAATGACCCAGCACAGCCACGGGCCGTTTCACCTCCAGTCCCAGGGGACCCCAAGCCACCACGGGCTCCTCTCTCCCTTTGCTCACCCCGGGGCCGGTGGCCGCGGTGCGTGTGGTTATCAGCCTGGTTTCTGCCCTGCAAACAGGCTGTACGCGCTGTCAGCACCCTTAGCGTCCAGCCGCCGCACATGCCTGGCTTTACACGAGCCAGAGCAGCTCCCACGCCGTGCCGACACAGCCTCCACCGACTCATCCCCCCGGGAAGCCATTCCCGTGCACCGCCAGCTCCCTTCCCGGTCCCCAGCCCGGCCAGTTGCATGCCGGGGAGGAGCGAACTGAACCGCCTCCGGGGCCGGCGCTGCCCGGCATCCCCTTCGCCCGCAGCCTTGACCCCGGTGAGCCGCAGGCCGAGGGCGAACCGGGGCCCCGTGGGGCGGGCGGGTGGCGGGGGGGGGGGGGGAAGACACAGGGCAAGGGCTGGGACAGGCGGCGGTGGGAGCGGGAGCAGAGCGGGAGGGAGGGAGGGCAGGAGGGAGCCCGCGCCGTCCGGCCCCTGCCCATGCGCTCACCCCAGCAAGGACCCTGCTCCCCATGGTGCTGTGGAGCAGCCGAGGGTCCCACCGGGGCTCCGCTGGCCCCTGCTCCCCCGTGGCAGTTGGGGGTTGCAGCCCCAGCGTGGCAGAGCCCGGTGCCCTGCCTGTGCCTCTTGTGGGGGCTGGTGGAAGGGGATGTTTAAGCAGCTCCCCCCCCCAGTGCACCTCGGTGGGGTGAGGAAGCCTCAGTGGCATGCTGCAGGGAGGCGATGCCGAGTGGGGTTTTGGACACAAAACAGAGCATTTTCCCTTCTTTGTAGTGATGGGTATGTGTGTGGGGAGGCAGGCCCCTTTTCCTGCAGTGTCTCTTCTCTTTCACCCACTGCACCCTAAAGCGAGGTCACGGCCCCGAGCCTGTTGCAGGGAGCACAGTAGCTCCGCACTGTCCTCGTTGGGGAGGGGAGAGCACATCAGTGATCCTGCTGCTCACCCCCACCATTTGTGGACACTACAGGCACAAGAGCCCTTTAGCTGTAACCAGAGTGTAGCTCCCTATTTACCAGTCCATCCTCCACGTTGCTGGTGCTGGAACAGAACATTCTCTCCCTGCCCAACCCGTGTCCCTGTAGTCTTGCTTACACATGCAGCACATCTCCTTCACCCCAATTACCCCCAGCCTCCTTGCAGCATCCTTGAGGGGCAAAGGGCTCCAGCAGGGACCTGCAGGACTGCAGCCAAGGCTCAGGGCTTTCCTCCTGTGCGACCCCAGGCACAGATGTGCAGTCGGGCAGCATAGCAAAGGGGTGGTGGGATGGTTTGGCATCTTTGGGCAGCTCTTTGCAGGTGGTCTAAAGCTGGGTGCCCTTACACAGAGTGCATTGGCTTGTGAGACCCACTTATTTTAAATACACTCTTTTAAGGGGTGCAGATTTACGTGCATCAGTGCTTGCAAATGCACTCAGGCTCTGTGCAAGGTGGGGAATGACTGCTTCCCGTGACCAACAAACCCCCCTGACCCCATGCATCCTCCCCACAGCCTGACCAGCCATGGCAGCCTCACTGAGCCGCCCCTTCTTCATCTCTCTCCACGTGCCCTATAGGCAGGGCTGGGCCCAGGACCTGGCCAACACCTTCCGCTTCCAGCCCATAGCCATGCGGGAGACGTCGCGGGTCCGGCAGCTGGCTCTGTGCCGGGGATGCGCCGTCTTCCTCCTCAATGAGCGCCTGAACCCAGCACCTGCCACTGATTCTTCCCATGAATTCCTCTACGACGTGGACCCCCGGCCCACCTTGGGCACAGCCTCCAATGTCTGCTTCGAGGTGGACGATGTGCCGGGGCTCTGCAGGCAGCTGCAGAGCCAGGGATGCTCTGTGCCAGTGCCTCCCACCGAGGTAAGGGATGACGGCGGGTCCGTCACCTATGGGGTGGTGAGCTCCATTGTGGGCAACATCAGCCATACCCTTCTGGACCGATCCTGCTACCGGGGACCCTTCCTGCCCGGCTTCCAGCCCATCCAAGGAGCATCCTCGGCCACAGGGGATGGGATCGAGATCACCGACTTCGACCACATCACGTACGTGTGCCGGCGGGGCGGTACGCGGGCAGCTCTGGACTGGTACCAGCGCTGCTTCGGCTTCCGACGCTTCCTGCTGAACCCGAAGGAGAGGCCAGAGAAGGGGTATGTGCTTGGGGGGCAGGGGACGGGGATGCTGCTCCGTGCACTGCAGAGCGCCCAGGGTGCCCCAGGACATGGCTGCAAGCTCGTCCTCGCTGAGTCCCTCTCCAAGGATGGCACCAACCAAGTCGACACCTTCCTAGAGCAGCACGGTGGGGCCGGGATCCAGCACATCGGCCTCCGCACCACTGACATTGTTACCACGACCAGGACGTTGCAGCAGTGGGGAGCGAGGTTCTTTACACCCCCAGGCACCTACTACAGCCAGGATGGCAAAGCAGAGGAGATCCAAGGGGCCGGGCAGGACCCACACACACTGGCAGAGCTGGGCATCCTGCTGGACACCACAGCACCCAGGGACAAGGGCATTGATGCTGCAGAGAGTCTTTCCCAGGAGTATCTGATGCAGATCTTCACCCATCCCATCTTCTCTGAAGAGACTTTCTTCCTGGAGCTCATTGACCGGCGGGGAGCACCAGGCTTCGGGGAAGGCAATATACGGGCACTGTGGAAAGCTGTGCAGATCTATATGGACCAGCAGCAGTAGTGGCAACGCTGTGGTCCTCCTTCAGCTCCTCATCCTCTCTGGTCCATCCCTGGGGCAATACAGGGACGGCTGCAGATCAAGCCAGAGCCAGCTTCATGTGGGAGCACATGGCTCAGGGCCATGTCCAGACTCTGAGCATCCCCCATGATGGAGGGTAATTTCTCTCTTCCCTGGGTTCCCAGTGATTTATTGACCTCACGTGAAGAACTCTTCCTTCATTTCATGTTAACTTAATGAGACTTGCTCTGCACGGCTATGAACACTGCTGGCACAGCAACTCCCACCCCATAGGGGGATGAGGGGCTGCCAGAGGGGAGCAGATAATACAGGAGCCATGGACACTGCCATTCATCAATGGCTGCCACCAGAGCATGGCCAGCCCCTGTGTAGGGCAAGTGATGGGCTCTTGCTCCTCTCCATTAAAGAATTAACTTGCAAGCACTGCTTTGCTTTCTCCTCTCCTCCCATTTAAGATGTGATGAGTGACCCTCAAATCAGGCTTTCCCCAGTCCTGCAGTCCCTAAATTGAGGCCACTTGCCCCTTGGACACCCCCAGGACAGGCCCCTGTCCCTGCCACCCCCCAGGCTTGTGCCTTTGCAAGGATGCTCCTGTGCATCACAGTCAGAGAAAAGCCATGGCCTGAGCACAGGAACAGCCTGATGGAAGAGGGCAGGAGCCGAGCAGGGCCCAGGGCTGATGCCTGCCCTCGCTGCAGAGGTGCTCTGGGTGCCGCATTTGGGGTCACCAGCACTTAATGCTCAGCTGAGGGATTCATGGGTGCATTAACGAAGTAATCCCTTGCTGTCCCCTGCCCAGATGCAGAGATCCTGCGGGCCATCCTCACATTCAACCACGGGCTGCCCCACATCTCGGCACAGTGCAACAGAGGCAGAAAGTCACTTACAAAACCCACACACTCTTTAGATTTATTATTAGAAAGCCTGTGGCTCAGGTTCGGTAAAAACAAGTGTATAAAAAGGGCTGTGGGAGGCCGGGAAGGGGACAGCAGGATCCACAATCCCTGCCTGGCAGATGAGGTGCACGCGGAGACAGGGCTGCAGGAGCAATGTGGCCACAGCCTTCCTGCTGCCACGAGCCCACAGTGCTGGAGCAGCGGTTGTATGGAGCCAGATAAGCCCAGGAGGGCTCCAACCAAGGCAGGAGGGCAAGCCTGGCTCCTGGCACATCCAGTATCATAGGGGCCACATCAAGGCACAGCTCCCTATGGGGGAGCCTGGTGGATTCTGCAAGGAACGGGGCACTGTTACAGGGCTGTGAACTGGGCTCACAGTAATACAGGGGAATGCCATGCGCACACCACAGGCAGGACTCACGGCAGCACAGGGCTCTGGTGGTCTCATGTTGAAGGTGCCATCATGGGGCAGTTGGTGGCCGGAGAAAGGCGCGGAGGGAGAGCTGTGTCCCAGGGCTGGTGCTGCCTGTGCCCTGTGCCTTTGCCCCTCGCTTCCTCTTGGAGCCCTGTGGAAACACAGCAGGGCTCAACCCAACCCCACGGCCCCCATGGATCCCCTCTGGAGGAAGGGGACCCTGCTACTGGGAACACACAGGGGCAATGCCCCAGGACGGGGATGCTCCTTGGCCTCAGCACAAACCCCAGGGGGACTCCAGCACCACACAGCAGAGCCTGACCCCCAGCAGCTCCTGGGGCCCCCTGCACCCTCCAGCAATGCTCACCTGGCCAGGGTTGCTCCCCTTCTCTCGCTGCTTCTCACACGCTTTCAGGACCTGAAGGAAGCACAAGAGAGCCCAGAGCTGACGAGCAGCCAGGTCCTGGAGCTGAGGCCGCCCACAGAGGTTGGGGGGATGCCAGAGGCTCTCCCAGGAGCCCAGGAAGACTCAGGGAGGGGAGGAAAGGCCCCAGGGGCCCCCAGTACCTTCTTCATAGCTGTGGAGACAGCTGAGGCATGGAATTCCTTCTCTGTCACCCAGCGGGATGGGGATGAGGCAGGGTCGAGGGTCACATCCCCATCCAGGGACAAGGAGTAGACCACGTATGTCTGGTGGATGTGAGAGAAGATGTGGACGACCTGTGAGGGGATGGGAAGACGTATGAAAAGGGCAGCAGGCAGCAGAGGATGCACTGCACAGCTCCCCCACAAGTGCACGAGGTCTGCCAAGGCTCTGAGGAGCGGGGCAGGACTCCGGAGGGATGACAACAGGGAAGGGGGGAACCCTCTTCGCCCCATGCTAAATCCCCCATGGCTGCGCACAGGGGACTCGCGCTGCATCCATCCAGCTCCAGGCCCACCTCTCCGATGAGCTGCAGGTCTCCAGCCACCACAGGCTGCCCTATCCAGGCCCGGAGGTGCTCGGCCAGTGCCTCCCTCTGCTTCTCCTCCTGTAGATCCTGAGCCAGTGGGAGACTTGGGAACTCCCACAGCCCGGCCAGGAGACCTGGAGAGGGTGCACGGCAGGGATGTGAGACAACCAAGGGGCACATCTGGGGACACTGAGCCCCACCACAACCTGCAGGGACTCCCTTCCCCATCCCAGCAGCATGGACATCACTGGTGCATCCCTCCCCCAGGCTGCTCTGCCCCCCATGCAGGTGGGAAGGGGCAGTGCGAGGCCTTCGCCCCCCTCCCGCCCAGCCCCATCACCTGAGCTGGGTCTCTGCACGATGAGGTACTCGAGGCCCCTCCGCTCCAGCACGCACGTGGCCGCTCGCGCCACCCGCAGCTGCTTCTTGGCTGCTTTCCGGGGGAAGTTGGTGACCCCCAGGCTGCTGTCCCACGGCTCCGCGGCCGGAGGGCACAGGGAGCAGCCCCCAGCACCTGCAAACACCCAGGTAACACTCACCACAGGGCTCAGCCCAGGAGCCACATCAGGGGTCTTCCCAGGCGCTTACCACAGTCCTCAACATCAGGCAATGGGGTGGCTTTTCCAAGCAGCTTCTGAGAGGCAGAGGCCAGCTCCTTCTCCACCTGCAAGGAAGGGACGTGGATAAGCACAGGCTCATCCACCAGCCCACCCTGTCCCCATGCACGGTGACCCCTTAAGGCCTGGTTTTGGGGCTATACTTGCCCTGAGCCGTGCTCGGCAGTGCTGTTTCACAGGGCACTCCCCACACAGTGGGGCCTTGGGCACACACACAGTTGCTCCCAGCTCCATCAGGGCTTGGTTAAAATCCCCCGGGCGGCTCCTGTCTACCAGGGCATTGGCCATGTCCCTGGAAGAAACAGCAGTGAGCAATGTGGGGCTCTGCAGGGAGAGGGCTCAGGACCTCTGCCTGCCTCCTGCCTCTGAGGGGAGATGCTCTATCCCAGGCAGGCACAAACAACACAGCTCCTTTCCCCACCATTCCCAGTAGCATCTGCTTCCCAAGAGCTTCTGCACCACATGGATCTCTCCCTTTGCAGGCTCAGCTGCCCAGGGCTCCCAAGTGATCCTGCCCTTGGGCACCAACAGCCACAGCCACAGCTTGGAGCAGGGACGGAGCATTCCCCTTACCAGAGCCGGTCAATGACAGCCGGGCTGCTGGAGTCAGCACCAATGCACCGCAGCCGGCACAGGACCCGGATCACGTTCCCATCCACAACACCAGTAGCCTGGGACAAGGAGCAGGGATTAGCATGCCAGGAGATGCCCGTGCTCCCAGCAAGGCAGGCAGCTGGGGTGCTCCTGGGACAGAAGGAGCACACAAGGCCCTGGGGAGCCCCTGGTTTGTGAGACCCAACAGCGGGACCTGGGTGGCAGAGAGGGGACACGGGTCCACCGATGTCCAGCTCTCACCTGCCCATACGAGATGGATGCGATGGCTGCTGCCGTGTACCGGCCCACTCCTGGCAGCAGCTTCTGCAGGTCCTCAGCTGTCCTGGGCATCTGACCAGCCAGCTCAGACACCACCTGGCAGAGAGGGGACGAGGTCAGGGGAGCAACCAGGGGATGTGTGTGCGACCCCCTTTCCCTGCGGTAAGACAGGATCCCAGCCTCTGTAGGCTTGTGCACCAGCACACAGCCCCAGTGAGACAGGGCAGCTGTGAGCCAGCACCAACACATGGACCACAGATGCCCCCCACAACCCGGCACCAGGGCACCTTCCTCGCTGCCTCCTGCAGACGCTTCCCTCTCGAGTAGTAGCCAAGTCCAGCCCACAGCTCATTCACCTCCTGCTCCAAGAGACACAGTGCACTGTTAGGAAGAGCCACGAGGGCAGGGAGAACACCCGGTCCTAGCAGTGCTCACCTCCAGGGATGCCTGTGCCAGAGCCTGCAGCGTTGGCCACTTCTGCATTACAGAGAAAGAGATGTCAGGGACAAGCAGAGCCGTGCTCTGCAGCCAGGGTTCTGCCACAGCAAGTGGGTAAGTGCACAAAGGGGCAGCCTGTGGGCACAGGACTCTGTAGGGCAGCAGTTACCTGCATCCAGCGGTTGTAGTAGTCGATCACTGTAGCCACCTGTGTCTGCTGGAGCATGATCTCAGACACCCACACTGCAGGGAGCACGGCAGGGATCAGAGCAGAGGCATCAATGCCACGCACATCTGCTATTGCCGTGTTAGCACTGACTGCAAGCATTACACCAACATCCAACCCATGGGGCCCCTTCCCATCCTTCACCCTCCCCACTGGCTGCCGTACAGGAGCTCCCTCAGGCCCCATGTGGGCTCTGCAACCCTCCAGCACCTTTCCAGGAGGGTCAGTGACTCTTGTGGCCACTCCAGGCAGCTTGTTCCAATGATGGGAACTGAAGCCGTATTTCCCCACCAGGCCACATTGCACATCCACATCAGGAGGCTGCAGGGAGTGGGGTACCCCATGCACACCAGGGTGCAGTCTCTGCTCCTCACCTGCATATGCCCGTCTGTCAGCATCTGGCTCAGTTGCTGCCTGAAAGGGGAAGGAGATAGAATACGAGAAACAAGGTGACACAGGGCCCCACTGCAGAGGGGACCTGCGTATAAAATAAAATTGCTTTTGGTATTGTTTGAACACTGCATGGGAATCTGCAAGGAAATGTCTCCCCCAGGCACTCAGAGGTTCTGAGTGCAGGCTGATCAAGTGACAGCCAAAGCACCTTCTCCCTGATTCCATAGCAAGAGTTTACCTTAGAGCTTCAAAATCCCACCAGAGGAACTGCCCCAGATCCAAGCCCCTCTACACAGAAGCAGTCACAGGCAAATCCCACACAAGGGCCTCGCAGTTCCGGCACCCCTCAGACAGATGTTGCTGTAGAGCTGATGCCCACCCCCAGCACCCTGATCACCATCCAGCCACTTGCTGCCAGGCTGAGCACTAATAAAAACGCTTGGCCAGCTGACAGCAAATACATGGAAAACCTTTTCCTTGCAGCAAGGTGCCATGGATTCAGGAACAATATGGGTCTGAAAGACAACTGGACTGTTACTGAAGAAAAGTTGGAGGTTATGCTCGAGACTTGTGGTCTCACCCTGTGTCCTCCTTCGCTCTTTATACCCCGAGACTGGCTACAAACCACCAGCTACAGAACTGCCAGGACTGGCTGGGAGCATGATCCCATTTCCAGCAGCATCTTCCATGCAGTTCAGAATGCACTGCACACCATGGTCACCTCAGCAACACCCCCTTAAGGCAGAGGGGCTGCTTCCCCATGACACCTCCCGGTTTCCAGTTGCCCCCCCTTACCCGTGTCCTCCAGGGAAGGTCCCGCTTGCACCTGTCGTACCAAGCGAGCAGATTGCTGCGCAGGGCCTCGGTCTCAGCCGGGTCGCTGAAGAGATGCCGGGAGCACGGCGGGGACGGCGCTGGAGCTGGGGCCGCTGCCGGGGGGAGGCACGGGGTCAAGCTTGGGCGTGGATGCAGAAGGGCTGCGGGGCCCGAATGCAGCACCACCGGGCCACCTGCGGGACCCCGACGGACCCGCTGCGGGTGCATGAGCACCGGCAGCTGCCCAGGCGGGGGGCGCCGCTCCCCGCAGAGGATACCTCGCGTCCCCCAAGCCCCTTCCCCCCCACCAGGCACCTCTGCGGGGTGACGCGTCCTTCCTGCTCCGCCGCGCAGAAGGGGCCACCCTCGGGCCGCTCCTCCGGAGCCCCCCGGCGGCGGCGGCCGCGGCCCGGAGCTGGCTCATGTCCGGCCGGTGCCCGCCGGGACCGGGAGCCGGGGCGGCGCCACGCGAGACTTTCCCGGGTAAACGTTTCCCTCCCAGCGCCCCGCCCACTTTCCGCGTCTCAGCCAATCGGAGCGAAGCGCGGGGCGGGCTGACTCACGCCCTCCCGGTCAGCCAGGGAGAAGGGGCGGGACCTCCCGCCCGCCGGAGCCAATCAGCGCTCCGGGGGGAGAAACGAGGCTTCTTCCTTCTCTCGCCGGTCCCAGCGGCCTCACGAAGGACCCCAAGGGGTTGCCCCAGGTAAGCGCCTGTTTACTTAAACAACAAATTTCGGCTGAAAAGGGGTTTTGGAGAAGAGACAAAAATCCCCGCTGGCGGCTGGCGGGACCGGGCAGGCAGCTCCGGGCACGGCGGTGAGCAGCAAGCTCGGCGGCGCGGGCAGCCGCGCGGGCGGAGGTCCCGGGCGCGGCCATGTCGCAGCGATGGCGGGTGCCGGTGGTGGACGTGCAGAGCGACAACTTCACGGAGCTGTGGCCCTCCATGGTGCTGGCGCTGCGCACCGCCACCTTCGTCGCCGTGGACACGGTGAGGCGGGGCGCGGTAACCGGTGGCGGTGGGGGTGAGCGGCGGCGCCGCTGACGGGTTTCTCCCTGCAGGAGCTGAGCGGCCTCGGCGCCAGGAAGTTGCTGCTGAACCCGTGAGTGCCCGGGCATACCGGGGGTGGGGGGCGGAGCTCAGCCGGACTTACCGGCACCGGTTGCCCGGTTCCCTTCCCCTTGCGGGCTTTGCTGCCTGCGGTGGGACGGAGGCGGCAGCTCCCGTTCTCCTGCCGCCCAGGTGCATCGAGGAGCGGTACAAGGCGGTGTGCAGCGCGGCCAGGACACGCTCCATCCTGTCCCTCGGCGTCGCGTGTTTCAAGCAGCTCCCGGACAAGGTACGTGCTCGGTTCCCGCCCCCCCCCCCGAGGGAGCGGCGGCGGGGCTCTGCCTACCCGTGCTCCATGGAATTGCCCCTTCGGCAGCTGGCTGTGGTGGGTAGCCCTGCATGGCCTTGCACGCTCTGCTCTGCAGCCTGAGAACACGTATCTGTGCCAGATCTACAACCTGACACTGCTCTGCACGGAGGATTACATCGTGGAACCGCAGTCGGTGCAGTTCCTGGTGCAGCACGGCTTCGACTTCAATAAGCAGTATTCCCAAGGGATCCCTTACCACAAGGGGAATGACAAGGTACAAAGTGACTCCTCTTCCACTGCCTTGGCTTGCGCCGGTCCGGGGGGGTTGCTGGTATTCCCCGGTGCTGGCAACTCCTTTACACAGCTGCCCAGTGAACATGGGCTCATGCTGGAGTTAAGCATAACACTGTCCCCTTCACCTCCCTGCTGGTTTATATCCAGGCTGCCACTTGTTGCAGTTGCTCTTCCAAATGTTTGTGCCTCTGTTTGGTCAGAGCAAGTAAAGGCTGTAGGCTCTGTTGCAGTAGGATGAGGACTGCCCAGGACAATGCAAATCAAGGCTCAGGCTCATTGACTAATCCTTGCTCTTGCAGGGCAATGAGAACCAGAGCCAAAGCGTTCGGACTTTTTTCCTGGAGCTCATACGAGCAAAGAAGCCTCTTGTTCTCCATAACGGCCTGATCGATCTGGTGTTCTTGTACCAGTGCTTCTATGCTCACCTCCCAGACAGCCTCGGCACCTTCACCACTGACCTCTCAGAAATGTTTCCAGCAGGAATATATGACACCAAATATGCTTCAGAGTTTGAGACTCGCTTTGTAGCATCCTACTTGGAGTATGCTTACAAGAAGTGGTAAGTAGGACTCTGGTATTTAAAGCCTGTGGGAGGAAAGGCAAATGGAGCATCAGCAGTTGGTGTGGTTGTTGGTTTTTCCAGGCAAGGGAGGTGGGTCTTTATATTGTGTGAAGAAAGGGACTTTCCCCATTTCTAGGGCAGATGTTCAGTGCATGAGGGTGCCTTTTGTGATACACCTTGTCTATTCAGTGGGCAGCTGCTGAAAGAGGATTTCAGAACTGAAGACTGACCACACAGTGCCCTGATCTAACTGCAGACTAACTGACTCACTGCATGGCTCTGGCCCAGCGGTGGCAGGAACACATACAGGAGAGAGACACTTGAAAAACAGCTAGAGAGCAAGAGAAAACAGGGTGGTGCCTGCAGGGTCTGGTAATTGTAACTCAGTTTTGCAAGGGATGGTGCTGTTAAAGGGTGCTCCTTGCACCTCCTGATGATGACCTGCTCTGTCATGTATCCTCCTGCATGTGACACTTGCATGCAGCCATCTGTGACCCCCATCATCTCCTTCCCGAGTCAGGGTTGCTGTCTTGTTCCAGGACACGTTTGTCTGCTTCAAGTGTTGGTCTGGTGGCTCATTTTGTGCTCCCCATGCAATATAAACAAGCCCCTGGCAGCAATACAACCCCTTGAATCTCCATTAAACTGAAGTCACGCTCTGTAGAGGAGAAATAACTATTTTTAGTGACTGTTTTATGTCAGGAAATGCCACTTTGACAGGTCTGAAAACATTCAAGATGGCTGTTCTCAAACATGAGAATGCTGTGTTTTGACAAGACAAAAATACTTTTTAAACTGACCTTTTAAATATTTCGACCCACAGATCTGGTTCCATGGAGCCTTCCTTTTGTGCCTTTTAGTCAGCTCTTGGGACAAAAAAAGAGTTCTTTTTCTCATGACCTGGAAAATGTTTCCTTCTTGTCTGTATTGCTCAGGCTCAACCTGTCTGGGTGGTGGCTCCGGGATGCTCTACGTGGTACCTCAGTTTGGGGGACTTTTTCTTCATGCATTAAGATGATGAAGACTAATGCATATCTTAGTGCCCTTACTACTTAAAATCAAACCATGTGTCCTCCTCCTGTAGCTTCACCAGAGATGCTGGTGTCTCTGCCTGCGTGTTTGCATAAGAGAAACCAACTCTTGAATTAGTACGGAAACAACTACTTACTAAAGCTGTGCGCCAAGGACTGTGTTTCTTCCCAGCAAGCTGTCAAGGTGGGGCTAGAGCTCAAGAGCAGGAAACTCGGGGAGTTGAGATGTGGTGGAAACCAGGGTGTTTGCACCAGCTCCACACTGAGCTACTTTCAGTGAGTTACCTGCAGTGACTGTGTACTCTTGTTACAGCAAGCGAGAGAACTGCAAGCTGAAGGACTCCAGCAGTCAGTACCTCACCATTGAGTTCTGCAACTACCCTGCCAACATGTCCATTTACATTGACTATCGCCACTGCTCTCTGGAAGAAGAAAACCACAGTGTGGGAGGGGGAGATAAGGTGCCTGTCTGTGAGAAATTTTCGGTAAGTAACTTGAATCCTTGCTTCTTTCCTAGGTCCATGGAAAGAGCAAGAAGTGGCAGGAAGGCACCTGCAAACTTCCCCTTCTTGCTTCACAGTACAAGAAGGATTTGCAAGCTTCAGATGGCTTCATGATGGAAAAGGCAATAGCATGCTCTGTTCAGAGGCAGTGAATTCTACAAGGCTGCATTACACACAAAGATTGAGAAAGAGATTATATGGCCCTAAACAGTGTGATGGTATGAGTAGCGGTACCCATTGCTGTCTTGGGAGGGCAGCAAGTTCTGAACTAGTTTGGTTTGTCCTCTGAGAAAGAAATGCCATCTCTTCCCTCCCCAGTTAGGTACCAAAAAAAGGTTACCTCTGTGCAGCTTCTGACATGGTGTGATCCACAGCATCTTGAGTCCTGGTGCTGCTACAGCAGTAAACAGCCCATCTAATCAGATCATAACTGGTTTCAGGTGCTTCAAGGAGAAAAGGAGCTCTTCCAGATGTTACTGTCACAGAGCACCACAGGTTGGGGAGATCTCTGGAAGTTTCTTACCTGACCACCAACTCAGTGTTGCTCAGAGCTTTGTTTAGTGAATATTGAAAGTGTCTAAGGACGGAGACTGCAAACCCCCTCCAGGACCCTGTTCCAGTGCTTGACCACTTACTGAAATACGTAGTCAGAATTTCCGCTGACTCTTACCACATCGCATCTCCCCGTGCTCCCTTCAGAAGAGTTTAGCTCCATCTTCTCTATAACCTCCATCTATAGCTAGATATCCACATTTCCTTACCGTTGTCTTTTCCAGGCAGAACAAACACACTTTCCTTAGCCTACATTTTGTGCTGCATGTTGACAGCTGCCTGCTGAACTCACTGCAGTTTGTCAGTGCCTTTCATTTATGTTGTGGAGCCATAACAACACAGCATTCCTGACACAGGATCACAAGCCCTCAGTACAGGGGAATAATTAGCTCTGCTCCACGTTATGGTGACAGGATGCTCTAACCAGCACACTGGTAGCTACAGACTTCTTTCTTTCTCTCCCTAGGCCTATGGCTGGTGTCCAAAAGGGGTGAAGTGTCCACATTCTCATAACATAGACCTCATAATTGATGAGGACGACAAGATCTGCGAGAAGAAGCGGAAGAAACGAAAGCAGAAATGCAGGCGTCGGAAGAACATAGGAGAGCCTGTAAAGGAACAGGAAAGCTCAGGGAAAGAAGTGGAGCTAGTTCAGAATGGGGAGGAGGGACCACCACAAAAACGGGGCTGCTGTGAGCCTCCAGCTGCCACTGTGCTGGCAGAGATCACACCCAAGTGCGAGGGCAGGCCACTGGAGGAGAACACGGACATGGAAGCAGAGGTCAGCTCAGATACCAGTGCACAACGGGAAGAGGATCTGGAGAGCACAGAAGGAACTACTGCCCAGGCAGCAGCTGTTGTGAGCCCTTCTGCCAAGGGAAATGCCTCTGATAGTGACCAAGCGGAGGGGAAGTCAGACTTTCCCACTGGGATTGGCTTAGTGAATCACTCTGACATCCCTGAGACTGAAGCAGCGTCTGCTGCAGAAAAGGAAAAGGAAACCCATGGTCTGCCTTCGCAGGGGGGCACACACCGAGCTGGCTTCGATGCATTCATGACTGGCTATATCATGGCTTATGTCTGGATGATCAAGAAAGAAAAAAACACAGACACTGGTGCAGGGCCCTGGTTGCCAGACTGCCACAATAAACTGTACCTCAGTGGGAAATCAGTGCCCCTTCATATAGTGAAGAGCTCATTTTCCAAATCTTCCAAAGCTCACAGCCAGAAGATGAAGGTGGCCTGGGGCAGTGGATAGAGCTAGAGGACTCCGCACTGAACTGAGGGCTTTTTCTCCCTTTCAAGTTTTGAAGTTCTTCGTTTCATCAAGAACTGACAAGAAGTGGAGCAAGTTTCTTACTCTTGTTTTTGTTTTAACTTCTGACCCATTAAAATGCTCTCACTTGGAGTTCCCCGTTGTTCCTTACTGGCCTGCTGGGCTGTGAGGAGGAGGAGGAAAAGCACACCTCCTCAGCTGCACCCAGGGCTGGGAGTTTCAGTTTAGTGTCCTGCACTCAAAGTGGGTTTTGTAAAAACAAGCTAGCGTTGCTCTTCTGGAAAGACCATATGCTAGCTACCTTACCATGGGTTTCACTTCTTGCAGAAGGGGGTAATCACTTGATAACAGGAGGAGACGGAGGCCAAAGCTTCCCACTTAAACTTGGCATGTTAGAGCTCCAGCCTCCTCCCTTTATATTTACACATGCTGCCACTTAACCCAGTGGCTTAGGGTGGGATAGACCTTTTCAAAATGAGCATGTGCTAAAGGTCAAAGTCTTACCTACAAAAACACAGCTGAAAGCTCCCAGCTGTTGACTCATACAACCAGCTTGAGAGAAAGGCTATAAACAGTCACTGGAGAAAGATGTGATGCTTCTGCCAGATGAAGGGCTTTTCAGGCATTCTTCAGGCAGAGCATTCATAAAGATGTGTGTTTAGTCAGGTGTTACTGCTTTCAGTCACTGCTGGTAGGGTAACTCCCTATAGCCCTTATAATTATTTCCTATCCTTCTGCACAAGTCAGGAAGGAAAAAAAGGGTTGTCTTTTAAAAAAAGAGACACGGTTTGGAACACGCGCTTGGGAGAGCCATTCTACTTCGTAGCTGTACTTCACCTTAGTCTTGGTTACAGCATATGTAGATGAGAGCTTTGCTTCTATGGGCCGGCTCGTTTTAGTGCAGGGTAACTGCATGCAGAACCAAGCCACAGTCAGTCTTCAAGCTTCTCAGTAAGGGGAGATGCAGTGGGACAAAAGGCACAGCCGCTTGTGCTGCTGAAGCTATTTAGGGTTAGAACAAAGCAGCGGCAATGGCAAGCTCCCTGCGGGTTGAGTGCTATCAAAATCCATCTTGTCTTGTAGGTCACAAGCTATGGCCCACTCTGAAGAGTGCTATAACACAGAAGAGAGGAAAAAAAATCCTCGAGTCTCATGGATTTAATAGTGTAACACTATAGTAAGATGCAGGAGAGAAACAACGCTAAGGATGAGTTTTCCTTCAGCACTGAGCAATAGCGAATACAATGTCAAGCGAGGTATTAACGTCCTTCATAGCTTAAGTATTCAAACCAGCTCTTTCAACCTAGGCTTGGCATCTCAATCACAAGACTCAGGCCTTGATTTCATTTTTATTTTGAAAGCAAGTTGGGAAAGTTTACAAAACCTGACCAAGAAAAAAATTACGAAAATACTTAACTGGATTCATCTTTGGTTACTTCTTATTGCAGTTCCAATGAACCATACACCATTTCTAGAGTTCCAAAAAGTCAAAAGGTCAATCAACATAAAAACAAGACGTGCTTTCTTTACATAGTCATAAATATCTGCAATATTAGAAAAGTCGTGTTGCAAAGATTCTTTTTCTGGCAGTGTTAACTTACTATTATACACAGGCTACAAACTTCTTCCTAAGCCTTTAATTACAAGTTGAGCTATTTACAGACTGCAAAATATTAAGACGTAAAACTCCTTCATAAATACGAAAATAGATCATCTCGCAAAGGTCTTTATACTTAATCAAATATCTGGCTGCCCCTCCTCCCAAAAACAAAAAAAAAAGGTTATTTGTTTTGCATAGAAATGTAGTGACATGCAATATAAACAATAGCATTAAGTGCAAACAGGAATTATTCAAGTCTCTTTAGTTGTACTGGCAAAAAATACCAATGTTCTGTTACATATAATACCTCTCCGACAAGTCCACTACAGCCCCTTGTCTGCTCTGCTTTAGAGGGGTAGCAATTCACATGCATTTTCTTAGTTGCATTCAATCAACCTGCAACCACCACAAAAATAGCTTATAACAGACATTTAAATGAATTCAACATAGATTTAAAGTGAATTAAAAACATCTTTGATCTCTTCAGGGAACCTACCAATGTGTAGAAAGTATTTTAAAAGAGCAAGAACTGCTCCCATAAGAAAGTCAGAAATCATGATAAAATCCAATCGCAATAAAACTCTGTTACATCACTATAAAACACGCAGTTTGCTGACCACGTTTATATTCATGTTCAGCAGTAGCTGTCAGAAAATGGCCCCCTGTAGAAAAGCACCCTCAGGCAGAAAACCTAGAGTAGTTACTAGGTGGAACCTAGATTCAGCTTTACACCACCCAAGGGTGAGACGTAGTGAGTGCCAACTGCATCCGGGCCCTTGGAAACACTGGGGTTTAGCAAGCACTTAGCTAGTTCTAAATAGCCTTTTACTCCAGTTTCACACACAAGCCTCATTTCCCATGCAGACCAAGAATCCAGGAAAGGCCTGAGCTGCTATCCCTTGGTGTTTCTGACAGCCACCTCAGTACTAAGAGCTAGAGAAGTTGATAGATGTGCCCTGTACATGTCAGCTGGCTGTGCTTAGAGTGGACACTTAAGAAAACAAAGTGTTAGCCATGCTGCTTTGTAAGAGACCTGTTCAGGGCCCAGAAACATTTTAAGAGACTCTGGTGTAAGAAAAGAGATGAGGTCACTGTGATGGGTGCCACAGAGGTACCCCAAGGCTGACTGCATAGGCTTTACAGTCAGTGTCAGAGAGGGCAACATGCTTCATGATGAGGTGTCAGTGTTGACAACCAGGGCTAATGCAAGCCACAGAGCAGCCAGAGCGTGTGTGTGCTCTCCAGTGAGGTCGCAGGCAGTTGGAACGTGCTGGACAGCTTCCTTGCAGCCTGGTGACCCAGAAGTAAACTATTCCTTATTATTGCTTGTTTGTCTGAAGTCACACACCTAAAATGCATTTTGTGACAACAGAAGCTGGTGTTGATGGTTTCCCTCCTGAAAGATTACAACTGTATAAAAGATAGAGGGGAAAAAGAAAAATTAAAAAGCAGGCACCATGCAGGCTGCTAGCTGGCAATTTGAGTTCTGCTGACCCTGTCCTCAAAGGAAGTTACATGCACACAGTGCCAGCCATACAAGCTGTTCTGCACTCTGCAGACACCAGCCCTGCAGACAGGATACACAAGACAGACTACTCTACAGATCAGCACCTTCAAGAGGCAGGGAGGTGTGGGCCAAAAGGGGTGATGCTGGAAAGCACAGGCATTTTCTCTTTCACACTGCTCACAGCTGCCTAATCTGGCATGGACTGTGCTGAGTAACTCTGCAACACTGGTTCTCATTTAATTCTTCGCAGCCGCTGCCAAGGGATAACTGCTGCTCAGGTTAACACATACTTCACAAGAGGAAGTCATAACTCAGAATAGTTACCTGCACCTCTGAAAGATAAGCAACTCAGCCAATAAAGAACTAAGGCTTTCTCCATCTTCAAGATAGGAAGAGTAGGTAGAGTCTTGCTTCCATCAGAGACTAGCTGACATTTTCCATCCTTACAAGTGAGCAGGAAGAGAGTGTAACAGGCTACCTGGGTGAAATTCTGGGCTCCACTGCATGACCATCTGCTCAGTGGGCGTGCAATGCATACCTCAGTTAGGAATGATAATAATAGAGGTTAAAAAAATAATAATTTACAAATCCCATCTTGTTAGGACAATGATAGTATAAAAGGGCAGGATGCTGCACAAACAATATCACAGACCAAGCTTTCTCATACATCGCATCTCAGAGCTGGTATCACTGATGCTGGTTCCAGCAAGCAGCATTAAAGCTTGTGCTGCTGCTTCTTTCACATGTACCTGCTGGTGGAGAGAAGAAAAAGAAGAAAAAAATTAAAAAAGAAAAAGATCATCCTGTTCAGTGTTAGGAGAAGCCAATGAAGACAAGAGCTTCTTTCTGCAGGATTAAAAAAAGGTTCATTTGGGACAAGCTAATTTCTTCAGTTTGACAATTCAAAACTCTTCTGTGAGCTTACTGTCTATCCTCTCCAAGAGCACTTGTGCGGCTGCAACACTGCTGGCTTCCCCTGAGCAGGGGATTCCTGTCCTCTTTCAAGAAGTCTGGTTTTAAATAAGGAGCCTTCATTACTGCAGTGATATTATCAGTGAGATGGGATGTCATACCAGAGAGGGAGGTGAATGCAACCCTTCCAGCTTAGTGGTAGAAGTCAACTGTGATGTAGATACTGTATTTAACTAAATATTCTGCAGAAACAGATCATGATGTCCATTCAGCTCTTCAGAGGCAAGAGCCCGCACCCAAAAGCTCTTTGCAACTGCTACTTTCACGGACAGTTTCTCCAGAAGGCCAGAAATGACAATGTCTGGAACATGGCTCTCCTCTTGTGCCCTGGGCAAATCCTCCTCCACATTTGGGTTGAGGCACGTGCAGAGCTGTACAAGGAGGATAGCGGTGCTTACCGCATCCTGCCTCCCTGCACTGACATACACACATCACTACCAAATCCCAAGGGAAAATGAAATGCCAGGGAACAGATTCTTCTTATCAATCACAAAGTACTTATGTGACTCAGCCTGCAGATTGCAACCAGCACAAGGGGTTTTGGGTTTGCTGCTTTTGAAAGAAGAGCTTGTTTAACACTGCAACAGCATTCACAACATCTCTGGGACCAGAGAGCATCCCTGTCTGCTCAACATAGGTCTGAAGGATCTCTGTGCCTGTTTCTAAAACAGAGGCTCCGACTCACATGCACTGCTGCAGAATGTTAATGCAAAGTATGCAGTGGCAGATATCTGCTCTAAGAGTAGGTGGTCAGTTGGAGGAAGCGGGAAAAACCTCCTACCCAGCATGGAGCTTAAGGCCTTGAAATGTTCCATACTGGAATCCAGGTAAAACTGTTTACATGGTGCCTGCTCTGGCTGCTACCTTTTGGAAGGACTGTGGGTCCCACATGGCCCTTCTGGCTGGAGTAGTTCCCCCTCCTAATGCAAATCAAGGAAGAGAATAAGCACGATTTGAAATAAAGTTAAAATAATCAGTCTCTCCAGACACTATCTGCAGCTATCTGTTTGACAGCCAGTTTCTACCATCTGCTGAGTCTCTTTGAAATGTGAA